AACTTCAAAGATACTTAAGTCTAGCTGTTGTTTTATAATATTCAAATTGAAATATATAGGTTGATTATTTTATAATAATAATAGTAAATAGTAATTGCTGTTTAAACAACCTGCTCAATTATTACCTCTGAAACCATTAATGAGTTTTTGAAATCAGTTCAGAACGAATTCTGGGATCTATGTAAAATTCGGGTACCTTTCTGTTATCTGTTAGATCTGTTATTATATGACAATCATACTTTATGTTAATTAATTGTATAATTGTTTTATCTATAGTAATTGTACAAATTTAAATATGTATACTATACAATACAATATATAATACAAAACAATACATTATAATACAATATGTATGTATACTATACTATACAATTGTAATCGATTCAACGTAACAAGAATACTTACTTATACAAGAACTTTCAGTATTCTGAAGTATCTTTCAAAAGTCAGTTTTTGAATACTGAAAATTCTTGTTACGTTGAATCGAGATAGGTGTTTTTTATAAATTAATAAGGAAAATTGTTCACCTTGAATTAAAATACTTATAGAAAGCATTCAAAAACCAGTTTAATAATCGGTTACACTTATGTCAATATTTTATGTACTTATTTGAACAGATCATGTCATAACCAAAATAACATTATGGTAGCCATGTACATATTAAATACATATTTTTCCAAATTCTTATATAATAATTCACAAAGCTCAATAAAATAAGAATCCTATTAAAGATAAAATACCTAAAAACTGTATTTTTAATATTTTAAGGAACGAATGAATATAAATTTAATTATTTAAATTGTGCATATAATTGATCATTATTACTATAGATTAAGCTTTTCAACCGCATCTCCATTTTCATATACTTTTTCTTTTGAAATTCGATCTTTATAGATATGTTATATAATAAGTATATGATATATTATTCTTTTTTACATCATTCTATGATTACAGTGAATATTACAAGGATCAGAAAGTACAAATCAATTAATAATCAAAAAACATTTTTTGTTTAATCATTATTTACTTAAGGTTACTAAATTTTTGCAAGCATTGTTCTTTATCGCAAATTTTGTTAATGAAAAAAATAAATTATAAAAAGTATTTGACATGTAGATAAATTCTTATCAATTTGTATTATTTGCTTGATTCACGTTTTGCAAATAATGAAATTTATATAAAAGACGGTAAATTTGAATTTCTTCAGCAGTAGATTAAGTAGCAATTGCTGCCAATTTACACCGCAATTTTTAACCATGAAAGTTTTTGTAGGAGTCCTTGCAGCTTTAACTGTTTTGGCTACAGCCAATGCATCCACTGGTGAGATTTTGATAAAAAAAAACTAAGTGAAAATAAGTTTCTGATTACCTATAATCTATTAACCTATAAAAAATATTGTTCTATTTTTTATACCGATTTATTTATTTATTGCTTTTAGTGATACAAATTAAATTTTTTGACTATAAAGTGTAATAAATTGTTCAAATTTAAATATTCAAACTGAAGTTTATTTTTATTCAGTGATGGTTTTATTTTTTTTTTCAGATAAAGTCGTATGTTACTTTGGAAGCTGGGCCAACTACAGACCAGGAAATGGAAAATTTTTTGTTGACGACATTGATCCATTTTTATGCACCCACGTTATTTACACTTTTGTAGGATTATCAGCTGATGGAAGTGTTCGCATTTTAGATCCAAATAATGAAATCAACAACGGTAAGATCAATGAAAATTAAATTGTAATGAATATGTGATTCTAATACGATTAACACAAAAGTTTTTTTTTCAAGTATTATATTTTTATATAACGCTTACACAGTTTTTCGTACGTTTTTTGCAATTGCAGGAGGGTTGCGTAAACTAAAAGAATTGAAAATATTAACCCGAAAGTCCAAATTTCTGTAGCAATTGGAGGTTGGAATGAAGGATCAGCTACTTACTCCAATGTGAGTATATAAAATGATTAATTGCTATATTTTTGAAACCTGTTGAATATTTGACACCTATTTATAACTATTTACAGGTTGCTGCTAACGATGCTCTTCGTGCCAATCTAGTCAACAGCATAGTTGCCTTCACAAAAGAACATGGACTAGATGGTTTTGATATTGATTGGGAATATCCTGCCCAAAGAGGAGGTGCAATAGCTGATAAGGTGATAAACACATTTTAGAAAAAAATATTGCATAATTTATGAATTACCTTATTAAACTTTGATCGTGTTTTTGTTTCTAGGCTAACTATATCAAGTTATTAAAAGAATTGCGTGCCAGATTTGATGCCGAAGGGTGGTTCTTATCAGCCGCTGTTGCTGCCCCAGAATCCTACATCGCATCCTCATATGATGTACCTCAAATGTCTAAGTAATATTACTATAGTGCCTAATACACAGTCATAATACAATTAGCTTCTTAATCATCATTGATTAATTTTAAACCTTCATTTGCAGATACTTAGATTTCATCAACATTATGGCCTATGATATGCACGGTCCTTGGGACGGCCGTACTGGACAAAACGCACCTCTGCTTCCTTCATCCAAAGATATCTCTTTTGATAATAGACAACTTAATGTTGTAAGTATTTTTTCTGAAAATCATTATTCCGATTTGTATATTTTTTTCTTCAAATGTTTCAAAATTGTATATTCATTATTAACTGGTTTACCAATATTTAGCAAGCCGCCATTCAAGGATGGATCAATGCTGGTGCAATCAAGAGCAAAATAGTTTTGGGTGTTCCATTATACGGAAAGACGTTCACACTTTCCAACCCTTCTGATAATGGTCTCTATGCAAATCTACAACTGCTGGACAGGCTGGTCCTTTCACTCAAGAAAGTGGCATGCTTGGCTACAACGAAGTAAATTAAATATTTTAATTACCATTTTAATCAATAAATTAATTGTTTAAGACCTAGTTATTTTTTCCATAGATTTGCCAATATGAAAATTCTCCTGAATGGACCATCATCTGGGATGATGAGCAAAAAGTACCATATATGCACAAAGACAACCAATGGATTAGCTACGATAATCCTGAATCAATTGCATTGAAGGTGAAGCAAAACTAACGGATTAAAATTAGAACTATAAATTTTAAAGCAATATTTTAATATCTGTTTCATTTTTCAGGCTCAATTCGCTAAAGAAACTGGACTGGGTGGAGTTATGGTTTGGAGCATTGAAACCGATGATTTCCGTGGATTGTGCGAAGGCGGAAAATATCCACTTCTAACATCTATCAACTCCGTCGTTTTCGGTGGAAAAGCACCCGTAAGTGCACAATGAGACATATTTTACACTAACAGAAAAATATTATACTGATTATTCTATATGATTTTAGGAAATTGGAAAACCAGTTGCTACTGTTCCATCTAAACCAAGCTCTGCCGCTGATTTAATCCCTTCTCCAAGTGTTCCAGTTATTAAAGAACCAACCGGTCCTTTTGCTTGCACCCAGACTGGGTACTACCGCAATCCCAATGACTGTGGTGCATATTTCTATTGCACTGGTGCAAACTCACAACCTCTTAAATTTGTTTGTCCAGCCGGTCTAAAGTACGACTCGACTCATGGTATTTGTAACTTTGCATACTCCGTCCAATGCTAAAACTCATAAATCTAATCAAAAACATTTTGCTATGTACTATTACTAAAATCATTATTTAATATTATTTGTTCAAGTTTCAATTTGTTATATGAAAATAAAGATTTACATAAAAGTTAATTTTGGTTTGCATTTAATTCGTAAAACGTGTAAATTTGCATTTGATAATTCTGGCAATTTATTAGTTTTAAGTTTTTTTTATTATTGATACACGTCAATTATAAATAGCATCAATAATAAAACATAGAACGTCAAATAACATAATGATTCAACATGAATAATAAATCAATCAATTGTTACTATTACTATGGATACAATAATTATTAATGCTAATGTAAGTCGTTATATGATGATAATTAACATACCTCTAAACAAGAGTAAAAATTAATTAGCTATTCCGTCAAAGATTATTAAAATATGAAAAATATGAAAATGTTATTAATTAACTTCCCATGGGGTAAGTTATAGCAATCGCAAAAAAATTGAAAATGGAAATTTTTATATAAATTTACGTTTCAAAGGTTTCTGAATATTTTGGCATACCTTAGAAAAAATGGATGTACGTGTGTGTGTTGTGTGCGGATACAAATTTTCGTCGATGATATCGGGAACACCGATCAACCGATTTGAATAATCCGATTTGTATTGATAAGGAGACGTGCTGATTAGTTTTTGGCGAAGACAGGTCTAGCCGTTTCGAAGATACGGAGCAAAAAGTGCAAAAAATGGTAGGTTCTGAGAGAACAAATCGGCCGAATTAAATTATTCAAAAAGCATTCGATTCGTATTGATGTGGAGACAACTGATTAGTTTTTGGTATAGGCAGGTCCAGCCGTTTAGTAGATACAGAGCAAAAAGTGCAAAAAATCCGATTAGATCCTAGACTCCCAGACAACACAAGACATCCCGGAGAATGTCCACAGGATATCCACGCGCGGACATTCATTGTCCCTGCGATAGCCTTACGGATATCCCGCTTATCCTGACCTTATCCGAAACATGTTAATATGTCGCACCTATGGGACGTTCTGTAGGATATCCCGCGCGGGATATTCCGGACATAAACCGGACATGAATAGGATATAATTATGGAATTGTTTTTTACTTTTTAGATGAAAATAAATTTGGATTAAAAATAAAATAAAAGAACACAATTTCACAAAGTAAACTTTTATTACAAAATAACAAAATCCTGAGATAATTTTATAACAAAATTTAATATATACAACTTTAATTCAAAATAACTTATTTTACAATATTAAAAATATAATTAATTCGGCATTCAATCCTAGTTCATGGTTGATTTTCTCTCCTGAAATAGAAAACAAATGAATAAATGCATATATATGTATATATATATATATATATGAGTAAGTTCTTTAAGAGCGATACATCAATCAAAATAGACAGAGATTTATAAAATAATCTCTAATTCCAAATATATCGACACAATTTGATGTCATTACGAGTGAATATTAAACTTGGTTTTTTACATCTAAAAATGTGTACACAGCACAAATTTTGCACTAACATTGATACAACTAACCAGTCAATAATCATGATTTTTTTGTAAATAGGAAAACATATAGTACACATCTCACAAAAATACCTTGTATAATATTTATTGGCACATCGCAGCCAGCTTTTTGCAACCTCTGAAACAGTAAACTATGTCTCATGCGGCAAATTTTTCAAAGCAATTCCTGGAATTAATTATATATTAGTTTAATTCATAATTTACAACACATCATAAGTATAAGATATATAAATTACCTGTGATGACATCGCAAGGCACTAGATCACAAAATTTATTTTTGCCCTTTCCTCGTCCCTAGCAAAATTCTTTGTCCAAACCATCATCAAAAATGGATTTTCATAGCTGGACTCTGATGGCTAAATACAGAATATAAAGAGAAAGTTTGCTTAGTATATGATAAAGTTAACAAATAAAAATAAATCTATATAAACTTTTGATTACCAATTGTGTTTTGATATTTTTGCTCAGAAATATAGCCTCCACAAGTTGAAACTCCTCCAACAAACATAGTGGAGAGCATTTCTTCTTTCTCAATCCTCTTTCAAACACAGCATTTGATACAAAATTAGGCATGGTTGCTGGAAAGCTGGCAGGGTAGAAATGTCAGCATTAAATTAAAAATTCTATTTGTACTAGTAACATAGTATTTCAAATAACAGTATACAGAAAGCTTTAATTACCATCGTTTATATCTGCCCCCTTTTCAATATGTTGGCTGCAATATTTATAACACACACGCACATATAATTATATAGAACACATAAAATTTCCACTATTATTACACAATTTTAGAGTATTTTGATCGATAATATTAATTATTTATAACACACGCTCATATAATTATATAGAACAAAATAAAATTTTCACTATTATTACTCAATTACCCAAAAACTATGATAATTCGAAGCGTCTGTTTGATGACGCTAACCTTAAGGGCGCAAAACCGACGCGACGAAAGAGAAAGGGACAAACATATACGTTTCGAGGTCTCAAGCCGTGCGCGTACGAGAGCGACATGTTCGTGAATCGAGCGTTATACCTGCTCGAGTCCTTTGGTTTTGAGACGTCCCGTTGCATATTCATAGGATATTCATAGGATATCGCGATATTAGGAGATTGTGAGGACAAGTGGGACATTCCCTGGCATGTCTTGTGCTGTCTGGGCTTGCGTTGCGTGTGATTACTATAATTTCGTTAGTTGATAAAAAAGGTCAAAACTGATCGGGTTCGAATCCCACGCCTGTATTTTTTTTTTTTTTAATTTTTTTAATACTTTTCATCTTTGTATAGTTCTTCTTTTTTTATTGGCCTCGCTTACTCGAGCATGTAGCCACCTACATTATTCTATAATTTCTAATGAAAATTCTAGTTTTTATAATATTTATTCATAGGCATTTTTGTTGACTGATTATTTTTATTTCTCGAATGTTCAATTACGGTAGGGGAAGTTCCAGCAATTTGCCCTAAGATACGATGCCATGCGCCCCATGCGCCCCTGTAGTTCATTTTTAAAATGTGGACGTTGGTAGTTTTAATTTTGAAATGTGCGGTAATTATCTGAAGTTAACAACACATTTTATGACAGTACAATATTTGACAGTTCAAAGAATAAAAATGAATTGAAATTTGTGATAAAGATCAAGGACAAAGCTTTCGTAATTAATTAATCTTAATTAAAGGTAAATAATTAGGTTATAAAAATTAAAAGATCTATAGGTACAACTGTATAAAAATAACTAGAATAACCTATATTTAAGTTTTACACAACAATCTCAAAACGTGGTATGTGTTTAGTTTGCATGATCTTTCAGTATAAAGTACTATTTATGTAATTTCACAAAAATAATTTATTTCTCCAGTATGATTATCATTAACAGCAACCAATTAAGTTATCGGTATCTTATGGGGTCTGATTCTAACCTAGAATTAAGGGTAAGATCATTTCTTACCGGGCTTTCTGCATATGCAATTGGTGAGGATTTATGTGCTGCCAATGTCAAAATTACTTTGATCTAATTTACATCGATTATTTATTAATAGTCTGTTTTAACAGTTCTTTCAGGAACATATTTTGCTCAAAAACCATATCTCAAACGTCTGCCATATAAATTAAGAGGAAGTGTAGTTGTAGCATGCTTGGTAGCTTCTGTAGCAACTTACGGGGTTCAGTCGTTCAATAAATACAGACTAGGACAGAAATTGAAAAATGATATAAGTTGCAAAGTGGAATCTAAAGAACATAATGTTTAAAAGAGCATTTGTTTTGCTAAATTGGTCTCAGTTTTGGGCTCCAAAACCTGTGCTTTGCGTACCGCCATTACATATAAGAAAGTTTAGTGTTAGTAGGTTATTAAATAAAAAATATATAATAGATAATGATGATGAAGAAGATGAACAAGAGCAGGAAATTATCCATGACAGGTAAGTGTTCTTAAAAATGCCTTTCTTCACACATGCAAATATATAAAAATTGATGTGTCGTCAATTAATGTATTTATAAATTTATAAATGTGCTCGTGGTTATATAAAATCTTTTTAATTATTTGTGATATTTTCAGTGAATATGAAGCCATGACATCTGATTTATTAACAAGAAGAACAGCTTCTAATAATTGTTTTGTTATTCAACCTTATGTAAAATGGGGACCATCTAAATCAGATGAATCGCCAGAATTGAAATTATCGGAAGCTGTTGCTTTAGTGAATTCAATACCAGAATGGAGTGTTGCACACAAGGTAAGGTGAGAATTAAGTACCTAAAATTTATCAATATTTTATATCAAAGTCTTGTTATAGATAACTGTGCCTTTGGAGACCTTAAAGAAACATACACTTTTTGGCAAAGGAAAAATGAAAGAATTGCAAGAGCTGATACAAAAATTTCAAAAGCAACAAAATAAGGTAAACTATTTTGTAATAAAGCTTATTAAATTTATGTGTATAATAGAGTTTTTCTTATTTTTAAGGTGACTTCAGTTTTTATAAGCATAGGTACTTTGAAATATGTTCAAAAACGTTATCTTGAAAAAATGTTGAGGTTGCCCATTTTGGATAGATATTCAATGGTCCTACAAATTCTGAGATTGCATGCAGTAAGTAAGGAAGCACAATTGCAGGTGAGTACCAAATAAATTATATTATTTGTCTTTTGTAGAATAGAAATTTATTACAATCTTATGCAATTATATCAGGTTGCTATGGCTGAGTTACCCTATGTATGGTCTCATGTTAGGGATATTGATCCAAATGATTATGTTGGTGATTTAACAGATTTACATCATCGACTGAATGGACGAGAAGCTAAATTGAGCAGAGCTCTGCAGAAAGTTAGGCAACATAGGTAATTAATATTGTAAAAAGGAGTTAGTTATTTTAAAAATATCATTAATTGATTCTTTAATTTATTTCAGACATTTATTACGAAAGCAGAGGTTGCAATTAAATTTTCCTACTATTGCAGTTGTTGGCTATACTAATGCTGGTAATTATTTGTTTTCTCTGAATGTTTTAGTTTTTATCAAACATTTTCATTATGTTTATTTTTCAGGAAAAACGTGCCTAATAAAAGCATTGACTGGGAGTGATTCATTGACACCCCAAGATAAATTATTTGCTACATTAGACATAACGGCACATGCTGGAATTTTACCAGGAAATTTGAAAGTTATATACATGGATACTATAGGATTTATGTCTGATATTCCAACTAATCTATTGGAATGTTTTCAAGCCACGCTTGAAGATGCTATGATTGCTGTAAGTTTTTGAATTTTTTTTTGTGTGTATGAAAATATGAATGGGTTTTTTTTTAATGCTTAGTTTGAATATAAATGAAACTAGCTAAATTGCGTCCAATGAAAATATTCTGAATATTTCGTTTTGTTGACTGAATTATGAAGAATGCAAAGTCGTATAATAATTTTAGGATGTGATAGTACATGTTCAAGATTGGTCTCACCCTGCTCGAACTTTTCAAAAAGCCCATGTTGAAAAAACATTAGAAAGGCTACTTTTACATAATCCAGAAAGCGAAAAACTTTTGAATAACATGATTACTGTTGCTAATAAAATAGATCTTTGTCCAGAAGATACAGATAATATTGAGGAAAAAATTCTACCAATTTCTGCTAAAAGACTATTGGGTTTAGATGAACTAAAAGATAAAATTGAAGAAAAATTATTACAAGTAACTAGGAGAATGAAAATTGACATGCGTGTTCCCATGGGGGGTCCAGAGTCGAGCTGGTTGCATAAACATGTTGCAGTAACGCATACATATGCAGATCCAAATGATAGTCAATATTTAATTATGAATGTTATAATCACTGAATTACAATTCACTAGATTTAAAAATATATTTATAAAAGGACCAAAAGTTGGATAGATCTAATTTTAGATAGTATAACGAATGTGATAGTTAAATCAAAGATGCCATAAGAAAGGTTACCTAATAATATGTAGAACATTTTTTAATCATTTTGGACACTTCAGAAGTGATCAAATAATTACACTGTCCTGTGTACAATTTTATTGTATTTATATACAGATAAAAATTGATATCAAGTTAGATAACAAAATATAAAATTTAAAAATCAAAACATATTTATAAATTTTTTTGGTCTTATTTCTAGAATTTATTCAGCATTAGAAACATTTTGAATAATTTTCTTGAATATTGTGATACCTCGAAGGAAAGTTTCTGTATCTAAATATTCATCATGGTCATGCAGCAATACTGGCGTGTTATTCATGGGAGAAAAACCAAAAGCCGGCAGTCCAATCTATTAATTTGAATCAAAATAAATTATTTTATTTTTATGGGATTCGAAGTTTATATACCACATGCGTAAAACTATATTTGCTAGTAAAAAGAGATCAAATCATATGTATTGAAGCAGTTTTTGCAAACATATAATGCTAGCCCTTTTACCAATTATTGTTTACAAACATAAACGATATAGAAATTTATAATTATATTACTTCTCTTATATATCTGCTATCTGTTGCAGCTGGAAAAACTTGTGGTTCAAGAACAAGTCCCCTAAAAATATTTGAAACACAATGAAAAATATGTCAATTGCATTATATTTGCTATTTGCAAATTACATTTCATCAGTAGCTCTTTTAAATGCTGTCCAAAATTTATTGCTTTCATTCAGTTCAGTGTTTGCTATCAGTGGTTCTTTTTGTTCAAATTCTATTTCAACATCCTTGCCAGCTTCTTTGCACCATTTTCGTATCTGCTCATATATATATATATATATATATATATATATATATATATATATATATATATATATATATTGAATGGTAGAGTCTTGGATTTGTGTATATTTTGTAGAGTTTCGAACAAGAATCCAAAAATAATACAAAATAAAAAACAAGAAAAGTTTTTAAAAAAACAATTTCTTTATTTAATTATTTGTTTATTGTCGACGTTTCGGAACTAGGTACGTTCCATCTTCAGGACATCTGTCAAGAAACATGATCTTGATGAGATTTTTGCAAACAATATGTTTAGGAAAAGAAAATAGATTTTTCTTAAATAATGAATTAAATTGTAAAAAATATAATAATGTACAGAAATATGATAATATGTTCAAAATAAAAATGATAAAAATAAATGAGTGGATTATCAAAACAGGATATTAAACATAATAGAAATTTTTTTTGAAAGTTATGGAAATTTTTTAAGAAAAGGTTAATGACAAAGTTGAATTAATTACCTGTATGTTTGAATATTTGTTAGCACTTTTTCACTAAACAAGCTTTTTTTAACAACTGTTAACTCACAAAATCATTTTTGTTAAAAAAGCTTGTTTAGTGAAAAAGTGCTAATAAATATTCAAACATACAGGTAATTAATTCAACTTTGTCATTAACCTTTTCTTAAAAAATTTCCATAACTTTCAAAAAAATTTTCTATTATGTTTAATATCCTGTTTTGATAATCCACTCATTTATTTTTATCATTTTTATTTTGAACATATTATCATATTTCTGTACATTATTATATTTTTTACAATTTAATTCATTATTTAAGAAAAATCTATTTTCTTTTCCTAAACATATTGTTTGCAAAAATCTCATCAAGATCACGTTTCTTGACAGATGTCCTGAAGATGGAACGTACCTAGTTCCGAAACGTCGACAATAAACAAATAATTAAATAAAGAAATTGTTTTTTTAAAAACTTTTCTTGTTTTTTATTTTGTATTATTTTTGGATTCTTGTTCGAAACTCTACAAAATATATATATATATATATATATATATATATATATATATATATATCATACATTATTTTTAAAAGTATTTTATTACCTTTTCTTCCAATTCCTTGTGGTCTAAGGATGGTGTAATACGTATATCAAAAACTGCCGTCAAAACTTCAGGGATAACATTACTTTGTACTCCACCCTATATGTGCAACAAAAATTATCATAATACATAGTACAACTATAATTTAATTACTGTTCACAATAATAATCACCTCTGCTCAAAGATCCAATGAAGCATTGAAATGAAAGATTATTTAAAATAAAAAGTTACTGTCATATGTATATTACCTTTAAAATTGTTAAATTGATAGTTGTAACATCTCCTAATTTATAACTAGGATTCTGTTTCAATATGTCCTCTTGTTCCTTTCTCATATCGAAGAACTTGTCCATTATGTACCTCATTTTTTCTCCTGCAGTATTTTCCAATATCAAAGATCCATGACCAGGATCACCATGACAATGAATATGAACATCTAAAAAATATTTACTTACAGTTTAATAGATTTTGCATTTCAAAAATATACATTAATAAATAGTTTTTACGCCAAAGACTTCTTTCTCCATAAAATAATGGATAAATTTCATTGGCACTAGCCATGCCTTCGTCTAATGAAACACCAACATTCAAGTTTTGAAATTCTCTTGTCTTAACAAACAATCCCATGCCTTCATGTCCACCAATTTCCTCATCTTTCGAAATAAAAAGAAACGTTTAAATTACTATTTTCAGATTCGTTTTTTTTTTTTTTTTAATGATACCTGGTACAAAACTTATATGAATAGTTCTTTTCAAAGTAACTCCTTCGTTCTTAAGTCTTCGTACTGCTTCTATAAATTGAATACCAACACATTTCATATCTTGAGATCCACGAGCATATATTTTTCCACTTTCATCTACATGAGCCGAGAAAGGTGGATAAGTCCAGAAATCCTATAAATATATAATACAAAAATTTACATTTATTGAATTTAAATTTTAACACATTGTAGAAAATGGATTTAATATACCTCAAAAACAGGAACAACATCCATGTGAGAATTAAGCATAACAGATGGTAAAGTTGGATCTTGACCGGGCCATGTTATAATAACAATTGGCTTTTTTGGTACACAATAATGAACCTGGATAGGCAAATTCAAAGAGGCAGCCTGCTTTTGTAGAAATTTCACACATGGCTCTGAGAAATTCAATATATATAATCTATATGAAAGTCTAAATATCATTAGGCTCATGGATCTCATATGAGTAATTCAAATCACACGAATTTCATAACATATATATATATATATATATATATATATATATATATATATATATATATATATGTATGTATAAATATATATCTCTGGTTTAAAACTTACAAGATTATCTATATAAAAATATTGTTTATATATGCACCAGATATATATATATATATATATATATATATATATATAATGGAATAAATAATTTTGTATTTAATCTTTTTTTTTAATTCGACGGTTGGGCTGCAAAAATATTACATATATATATATATATATCTAGTGCATCTTTAATCTTTTATTTGGAATTTGCAAGAAAGCAAGATAAAAATAAATAAAATACATGATAATTCAATTTTATTTATTTTTATATTATCTCACTAATTAATATTTATATCTGACCTACATTCTATGAAAATAATATCCATAGTGATGAATTAAAATATACTTTTTTTAAAACTTTATATAATAAAATATTATCGTAGGAAGATTATATGAAAAAATACTTTCAGTTATTTTTAGTTTTTTTCATATTTATAGTAATGTAAATAAAAGTCGAACCATAGTCTATATTCGGCTGTACACTCGGTATTTGTAAATATTCCCGAAAATTAGCTACTGCCAAAGCATCGTCAGGACTCGTCATTTTAATTTGTTTTTAATTTAATATTGTTATTTAATTTATATTTTATTTAATAAAAATAAAAACTATCACTTCGCTAGGCTGATGTAACAATGATCAACGTGTGTGAGAGTTGACGCTTTTATCAGCTGTGAGTGTGTCACGTGGCTTTATGTTGACAATTGATTACACAGAATCTCAAAACGTTTAGAGAGAAAAAATCTCATTACGATTCGATTTGTTTTACTTAGAGAAAATAATTTAAGTAATTAAAAAACATGAATAAACACTTTTAATTTATAAAGACATAATTATTTTTGTCAATAATAATTATATTAATTAATTAGATATAAAAGTGGTATAAGAAAAAATGTTCTAAAACAGCTGAAAATGTTTTCACAAAATTGTTTTATTAATCACGATGTAACTTTCATTTTTTTCCTCAATGTTTTGTCAAAAAAATTAACTTAGTTACTCTCATCTAGTGTGCAAAATTAAAATCAAGCTTATTTTTATGAGAACGTTTTGTTATTATCATTATTATTTTATTTATTAACTTCCCATATGGTAAATAATAGTAAACGCAAAAAAATGAAAATGAAAATTTTTATATATATTTACGTTTCGAAGGTTTCTGAACATTTTGCATACCTTTAAAAAAAATGGTTATATGTGTTTGTGTGTGTGCGGAAACAAATTTTCGTTGACGATTTTGCGAACACGGATCAACCGATTTCAATAATTCAAAAAAGAACAATCTATTGATTCCTACTAATAAGGAGACGTGCCGATTAGTTTTTGGCAAAGGCCAAAAATGTTATATCAGTTTTTGAGATAACGGAGCGTCCGATTTAAATAATTCAGAAAACATTTTACTTGTATTGATGAAATAAACAACTGGTGAAATTTTTGATAAGCAGGTCCAGCGTTTCCGGAGATCCAATAAAAAAAGTGAAAAATAATGCAATTTGGCGGTAAAAAATGAACATTACAAATATGTATATCGAATTAACAGATATTTTATAAAGATTATAATAACAAGTACAAAAGTTGTGTACATTTATATCGGTTCTGTCCCAATATTTACATGTTAGACGACTACGCAGCGCTCACGCGCTTTGATATTTCGACATCAAATCAGCTATGCAGCGCAATTGTTTAAAAAATGTTCAAAATTTTCAAAATAAATCAAAATTCAATCAAATTTTTTTTTATAATTCGGTTTTCGGTACGGGAAGTTTCAGCAATTTGCCTTAAGACAAGATGCCATGCACCATTAATTTATTGTTTTTTGTGTCAAAATAATTAACACTATTTTGAATATATTTAGAAGAGATACCAAAATCATATAACATTTGCGGCTTTTGCTATAAATCTCATTGGTGGTTTTGCGGTAGATAACGTTCTCAGATAAAATTGATATGACATGGAAAATTGTTTATGTGAAATTCAAATATTTATTACAATTATTATCGCGTTGTTTGTTATAGATCTAATGCTTTATCATACGATTTTTATCATCGTTAATGAGGTGTTACTTAATATGAAATTTCATTTCTTAAATTTCTATTTTTTCAATCAATTTCATATTATTGAATCAAATTTTTCATGTTATGATTTCTATTTATTATCATTATAATTTACTTTGCTTCTGAATTTAAATATTTTTGAGTTCTTGCAATAAAACAATAAACATAAATTCATCAATATTAATTTAATATATTCATGCATATGATACATATTTTATATTATCATTGATATCTAATTTAACATGATTAAATAGGGCTATTTTTGTTTTCTTAAATTAAAGAACATTAGCAACATTTTCGATGATCCGTTTAAAAATTTGGATTCCTTTTAAGAACGTTTCAGCTTCTATGTACTCGTTATGATCATGCAATAAATACTCGGTGCGATTAATTGGCGACATGCCAATTGCTGGAATATTCAGCTGAAAATAATAATTAACAGTTGTTATAAATATTAAAAATACAATTCAACTTTAATAAGCACAATATCATAAAAACAACTTTTTAATCGTTATTACTATTGTTTATTACCTGACGCAAATATCTGCTGTCCGAAACTCCAGGACATATTTTATGCACGAGTGTCATTTCTCTATAAAATTAAAAATATTATATTAATTATATTATAATATGATTTCTCTATAATATTAATATAATTTATAAATAATATTTTTCAATGTAATATTTGTTCTTACAATTCATCAGTGGCCTGTTTATAAGCGACCCAGAATTTGTTGGTCTCGTCCAGGACCGTGGGTTGAACGTAAGGGTCTTTTATTTTAAATTCTAAATTTACATTTTCACCAGCTTCTTCACACCATTTTCTGATCTAAAAGTAGAGACTTGTAAATTTGATATTAACTGTTTTTATCATATTATGTTGTCAATTTTATCAATTTAGTAATTAAAAGTTGCTAAATAAACTTATATTATTATTATCTTTACGAGAAACAAAGGCTTCTTATAACAATAGTGGATATTAGATCTAGCGCTTTATTCAATATTGACAATTTATTGATTTCATCAGTATATTTAAGTTCATTGTTTTAAATAATTGATGAATACTTTATTGTTTTAATTATTTGCATAATTTCAATGTATTGTTCAAACAAACACTGATTATTAATTGTTATTGATAATCAATTATTTCGATGTTTTCTGTATTCATACCAGTGCTTCCATTTCGTCATGATCTTGATTAACTGCAACGCGTACGTCGAAACCTAATTTAATTTTATCAGGAATAACATTAGATTGGACTCCACCCTGCAAATAAAAATAAAAGTTAATAATATTATTCGTACTAATATTTTTATTTTCATTTGTTTAAAATATATAATCCCATTCATTTTTTCCCTTCTAAAATATGTATCTTATAGCAATCAATACTGTTGCACCTACCTGCAATATTGTCAGATTAACTGAAGTGGCTTCCATGAATTCCTTTTCTCTTTGCTCATTTCGGAAATCAGTAAATTTGTCAATCACCAGGCGCGCTTTCTCAGCCGCTGTGTCTGGTTGCAGGCTGCTTCCATGTCCTGGTTGGCCGTTGCATGTTATTTCTATGCCTGATAAATAAACGTTTTAGAATATTTTCTGGTCAAATTCATTAGGATATTCTATATTAGGAAAATCTAGGATATTCTAGTAGTTTTGGAATCATTGAAAATGGTTGTATGTTTCATGCAAACAGGATGCTCTTAAATAATTGAAACAAATAGGCAAGCACATAAATAGAATTAGATTTGTCGTTTTCTGCATTATATCTTGTGCATTTGTTTGCAAAAACAAGATACGGAATCATATTGAATTGTTCATTGTTCTTTGTTATTCGAATTCACTTGTTTCTGCTCTGAAAGGGTCTGGGCGTGTTTCCATACAGAATTGGCCCCACCCTGGTATTTAAATTATTTTGATGCCATTTTATAGGTATTTTCGAGAAAATTTGATATACCAAATTTCAAATCCGTAGCTCATCATTTGGCCGAGATATCAGTGAAAACATGTGAAAGTGGCCCCTTTTTTCAAACTCACTTTTTGTCGGAAATATGAGAGATATCGAAAAACAGTTTACGTCATTCTATTTGTACTGATCTTGTCTATATTATTTATAGAATGGTTGAATGCATCATTATTTTGTACACACAAAATATAAATATAAAAGACATAATATTTATAACAGAAAGAACTACAGTTTCTATTAACAATGATAGCGACTACGATTAAAAGTGTCTTAATAACTTCGTAACTGTGGTAAATATAGTGTAGTCTTAATAACTTCCATATTACTATGGTAAATATAGTGACTATTTATTTATGTATTTCTATCGTTATAAAATAATATACAGTAACAATATAAAATAATATACAGTAACAATATAAAATATAAAATATAAAAAGCAAATAAAGTTTTAGGTATGATTTCAAAAAAAAAACATTGTATATAAATATATAACCGCAATAATTATATACATAAATATATGAATATAAAAATCACAAATGTATATATCTAGTTTTATTTTTTAAATAAGTATTACCTTTATATAGAATATGTTCCGATGCGCGCCAAGCGCAATGTGCACTGGTTTGCTATTGAGAGACGCTACTTACACGGATATTCTACGGGTTCCGCGTGTACTACCTTCGGTTTTTTCAACTTTTTATAAAAAGTTCCACTTCGATTTAAATATAATTTTGGATAATAAAAGTAAAATATACAGGCTTTAAAATGATGCTATTTAGAAAGTAGTCAAATTAACCGTACTGGTCGAAAATTTCAAATAAAAACTTATTTTCAACTTTTCATCCAGTAAATGACAATTTTTTAACATTATTCATTATAAATAATATAGACAAGATCAGTACAAATAGAATGACGTAAACTGTTTTTCGATATCTCTCATATTTCCGACAAAAAGTGAGTTTGAAAAAAAGGGCCACTTTCACATGTTTTCACTGATATCTCGGCCAAATGATGAGCTACGGATTTGAAATTTGGTATATCGAATTTTCTCGAAAATACCTATAAAATGGCATCAAAATAATTCAAATACCAGGGTGGGGCCAATTCTGTATGGAAACACGCCCATACCCTTTTCATAGATATCTTGTTTATTTATTCCTAATACTCTTATATCCTAATATTCCTAATATTCCTATATACTCCTATTGATAGGGAGAAGAGCTGATTAGTTTTTGGCAAAGGCAGGTCCAGCCGTTTCGTAGATACAGAGAAAAGAGTGCAGAAAATAGAAATCGAGTTTTTGAGAGAACGGAGTAACCGATCTGAATTATCTAAAAAGCATTCAATTAGTAATGATTGGGAGAAGTGTTTATTAGTTTTTGGTAAAGGCAGGCCCAGCCATTTCGAAGATACGGAGCTAAATGTGTAAAAAATGGCACTTTTTGAGAGAACTAAGCGTCCGATTTGAATGATTCAAAGAACTTTTTGCTTGTCTTAACAAAATAATTGATTTTGGAAAAAAAATATTTTTTGTTTCAACTTTTTTTTTGTATATCCAAAATAATTCAGATTTTATTTTATTTGAAGTAATTGTTTTAAATAT